TGTGTCCTGCTTTTGTTCTTCATTGACCCTGTGGACTCGGATTGCCAGGAAGCAAAGAGTCAAAATAAAGGCCATTGGACAGAAATCTGAAAGTGGGACATGTCATGGTTTGCAGATGTCAATTCTGTATTGCATCATGATGGGCAGTACCCCCGGGAGGGAAGACCAGCGGCAGGAGAGGAGAGAACCCCGAGGGCTCCAGCTGGTAGAAGAGAATTCCCATTTCTCAGCTGGAAAAGTCAGCATTGCTAAGTGCATGTTCTGGAATGATTTGGGTGGAATGCAGCAGCTGTCCGAGTTTTTGTAGTTGCCCGTTTTGGCCTCCTCATCAAGTATAAATTTGTGGGTGCCAGAAATTTTGGAAGGAGCTGCTCCAGCAGGCTATTTGCCTTTGTCCAATGGGGGAGGACTTAGATTTTTTTTCTTTTTTTTTCATTCTTGGTGCAGATGGTGTAGTTATTTTAAGTAAGTGATGTGCTGCAGTGAAAATGGGCAACTCTTTTTCATTTTTCAGCTTAATGAAAAAAATAAAAGGGAAGAGGAGAGAGCCCAGCTAGCCAACTTCTTGCTAATGCTTGTCTTTTTTGGATTCTAAATGTGTCCCAAGACACTAAGATGGGATAAATATTTCAGCCACTAGAAAGTCCTGCTGTCGGCCTGAAAAGATTTCTAACCTCTTTTAAAGCAGACGGGGTAGTAATTTACTTTTACAAATCCAGACACCCCATGTCCCTTATTTTAACTATGTATGTACAGATCCCACTCGCATTCTAGGGGGATGAGACAAGGGGTAGATGGAACTTTCCAAGGAAGAGTACAAGGGATGGGGAATAAAGCGGTAACTGAACACATGGAGTGGTCACAGATGTTTAATGGAGACCTGTGGAGTGCTGGTGCACGGGGTGCAGAGGCGGACAGCACAGTGCCTCTCCGCCTGCAGGGCACTCGGTCTAGTAGAGAGACAGCACAGATGCGTCAGTAGGCACAAGGTGGGGCAAAGGAAAACACAGGGCACTATCAGAGTGTCAAGCAGGGGGACCAGCTTTAGACTGGATATCGATGAAGGGATCTCAGAGTGATGTAAGCTGAGGTCTGAAGGGCAAATGAGGAGGTTAGCCAGGTGTACGAGCGTGCTCGGGCTGCCATGACAAAGCACTGCAGGCTGGGTGGCTTAAACAACAGAAATCTGTTTTCTCATGACACTGGAGGCTAGAAGTCTGTGATCAAGGTGTCGGCAGGGTTGGTTTCTTCTGAGGCATCTCTCCTTGGCTTGTAGGTGGACATCTTCTCCCTGTGTCTTCACATGGTTGTCTGTGTCTTAATTTCCTCTTCTTATAAGGACGCTAGTCACATTGCATTAGGACCACCCTAGTGCCCTCATTTTAACTTTATTACCTTTTAAAGACCCCCGTCTCCAAATATAGCAGTCACATTTGTAGATACTGGGGGTTAGGACTTATAAAATTTGGGGGAGAACAGAACTCAGCCCATAACACGAGATGAAAGGTCGGCAGAAGAATGTTTGGGGTCAGCAAACAGCATGTTTGGGGGCCTCGTGGCAGGGAGGACAGTGGTGTTTTCCAGGAAATGGTTCGAAATGAAGTCGCGGAGATAAGCAGGGGCTGGATCATGCTGGGCTTTGTAAGCCGCGGCGAGTTTTAGATTCATTCTAAGGACACAGAGAAGCCATCGGTTGTGTTTTAAAATCTCACTCTGTGTGAGGAGATGGAACTGGAGGGTGTGAGAAGTGGAAATCCAAAGGTTTTTTTAAAGCAGCGTTTCTCAACCTGGGCACTACTGACATTTCAGGCTGGACAGTTCCCTGGGTAGGGCCTGTCCTGTGCATTGCAGGATATGTGGCAACATTCCTGGCCTCTACCTGCTGGATGCTAACAGCACCCTCCCTTCTCCCAAGCCATGACAACCAAAATGTCTCCAGACACTGCCACGTGTTCCCTGCGGTGCAGAATTGTTCCCTGCTGAGAACCAGTGGTCGAATGGGGGCAAGAGATAATGGTGGCTTGGATTGGGTGGTACCAGTTCAGTGAGGCAAATTGGATGGTTTGAGGAAAGTTTTGAAGCCAGAATCAAAAGGATTTAACCTGCTTTTGCTTGGGTTTCTCCTCGTGCTTTTGAGTTTGATGATGTCACTTCCCTAAAGCACGAGGCAGTGTGCTGCCTGCATGCATAATGGAGTTGCTCAGAGGGACAAAAAGAACGTGCCTCTCTGTTATCATTCCCCAGGCCCCAGAATCCTTGGTCCTGTCAGGAACGCACTGTGAGCCCCGTGGCTGGCAGGACCACCTGTGTGTGATGGACGTGGTATTTAGTCTCCGTATCCACCCAGCCATTTGTCAAGCCCGTGCGCCGCCAGGCTTATTGACTTTCAGAGCAAGCACTTTGGAATCTAATCTGGCCAATTTTCTGGTTCCGGAAATCTGTTTATCAGAACAAGATTTCACAGTTGCTGTGACTTTTCCAGGGGGCTTGCCTTCGAGGAGCTAGCTCTACAAAAGCAAGTGTAAGTGATTTCCAAATAAAATAGAATGACAGTTACATTCCAGAGCCCTGAAGACTTTGCTGCTTGCTGGGGAAGCCTGGAGCAGTTGTTACAAAACAGCTGGAATTGTGTGGGTTTTCTGGGTTGAGCATTTGGTGTCTGGCTGGGCTCCAGCGCCTGGCTGTCCTTCTGGGTTCCCCCTCAAGCCCTCACCAGGGGGTGGTGAATTGGTTGCGTGTTCTTCTTGGGGCTGGTGGCGGTTTTCCGGAGTCCAGTCTTGAGAGGGACTCTGATTTTGATTCTGGGCTCGGTGGAACAGAGTGCCGAGATTGATTAGTGATGGCTGACTTGGCAGCAGAATGGGAGAAATAGTAGCACAATACATTTTGCACTTCCTCACAATCAGAGCTGAATGATTTTTTTATTCCATACCCTTCCATGCCCTGGGCTGTGCCTTCCTGCGTGGAGTCTTTGTTAACACTGTTCTCTAGGCCGGAAGGGTCCTTACTCTTCATCTCTGTGTATCCGTCAACATCCACTGTAAATGCCACCTCTTTCCTCGACTCTTTTTTGATTTCTTTGAATTTTGACTTTATCTTAAGAACACCAGGGAGCCATTCAGTGGCCTTTTAAACTAAGGAAATGTCACGATTGATTTGCTGTTGAGAAAGATCCCTCTGTCCACACAGGGGAGAATGCATTAGAGAGGGCCAAGTTGGGAGGCCATGCAGGGCAGCCGTCCCGGTAAGAGAGGTGGAGTAGTCGCTGTCGTGGCGCGGGGGACTTGGAGATTGGCCATCTCTAGGGGTTGATGGAGAGAGGAGGGGACGAGGGAGATTTCCAGGGTTCGGATGTGGGTAGTTGGGCAGGGTGGAGCCCCTCACTGTAGCTTCTCTTCTAGAGTTCTGCAGTGAGCTGTGGAAGCTCCATTTCAGCAGTGAGACATGCATGTGCATTATTGATTCACGACAGTGCGGCAGACGGTCGGTCCACAGGGAGATTCCGTGGCACTAGGGCCGATGGGGTGCTTGCTTATGGCTGGGTCCAATTCCCATTGGTTGTTGCCCGCTTGTTCTAGTGATACAGTATTTTTAGTATCACCCCAGTAATACCATCGCCAGACTGCAGAGTATGTGCTCATCTGTACTGGGAGAAGCCAGGGAACACTTCAGAGGGAAAACAGCAGAGAAGTTGTTTGCTGAAGGGCGTGTCGGGTTTTACTAGGAGACCCAGCAGGTCGAAGGGCATCCCCGGTGAAACGAACAGCACATATGAAGGATGTGGTGTGGCAGAGGGTGTGAGGTCAGGGGATCTAGAGATGCTTCTCTTTGGCAAAGCTTGAACGGGTCCTTCTGTGCTCGTGTTACCACCAGGCAGGTCTAGACACCCCTGTCCTTGTTACATGGCTTGTGCCTTTCCAGCCTGGAGGAAGGAGCCTTAGCTTTTGCCTCTGTCTTTAGGATATAGCACAGGTGTCTGGTCATAAATGCCCAATAAATGCTTACGGAATGACTCAGGAGGGAGCTCTGGAGCTATGGTGTGCTGAGGGACTGGGTTTTTATTTTATTTTATTTGTTTCTACTTTAAAGACTCTTTTTCTTCCAGATGGTTCTTCATCCTCCAGCCTTTGATCACACTGGCTCAGATGGGTGAAATCGATCAGATCCTAGCTCCCTTGAAAATCTGCCCCCAGGATCCCTTGGGGGGTGGATTCATGCCCCCTCCTCCCCACCACTGCCGTGGTTCTGGCCTTCTGTGTTTGCTTTCTGGTCTAAGGGTTGGGCGTTTTGGGTGGGGACCCTGACTCTGTATGACCATGTTCAGTGGAGTTGAATCTGAACCTTGGGGCTTGGTTCTCAACCTCCAATAACTCTTGACAAGCAGTTCTGTGACCATAGTGCCCTCTTGGGGGTTAAAAGGCCTGAGTTCCAGTTTCAACTTGGCCTTTCCTACCCATGAGAACTCAGGCAGGTTGGTTTTGTAGATTTGGGCTCCTGTTTCCTAGAGTGAAATGATCTCCCAGAAGCCCTGCCAACTGGGCCCCAATTCAGGGAGTCTGTGATTGTAGGGGCTGCAGAGCCCGAGCCTGGAAAGATCCTGCAGCTCCTACTGTTGGAGATATTGGGAGTCCAGTGCTCACTTCTGTCTGGAACTTTAATTTTTTAACCACTGCTGGTGGCCAGATAGAAACATTTGAATTTTATAATCCATTTTGTGGATGGAGAAAGAAAAAAAGTCAGTGAGCGCTCCTTCTGTGTCTGACAGCTAAGTGCATTCTTTGTGTTTCTCCATTTAGTCCTCTCAGAATCTCAAGGGCTGGGGTGGGGCCGATTATCAGCCCATTTCACAGATGAGGAGACTGAGGCCCAGGGAGGTCGGGTCACCTTCTGGAAGTCTCACATATGCTGAACAACAGTCCTTTCCGTTGGTTGGGGGCTCAGGTCCTTGCTGCTGTTACTGTGCTGTCTGACCTCCCTGTCCCCTCCCCTCAACAGAGAGCCAGCTGCTCCCTGGGAACAACTTCACCAACGAGTGCAACATTCCAGGCAACTTCATGTGCAGCAATGGGCGGTGCATCCCGGGTGCCTGGCAGTGTGACGGGCTGCCCGACTGCTTCGACAAGAGTGACGAGAAGGAGTGCCGTGAGTGTGGCCCAGCCCTTTGCTGGGGTGGGGATGGGGGCAGCCCTGGGGCAGAGGGGAGGAGGTCCTGAGCTGGCTTGGACCCTGCATGCTCTGCTTGCTGCAAGCTGGTGGGTTTGGGCCTGTGGCCGACAGTCCTGCCTTCTCCCCTCTGTCCTTCTGTGTCAGAGCAGTGCGGTCTGTGCAGAAACAGGGATCTTGGTGGTGGGGGAGCCACAGCTCTGGGCAAGCAAGGATTCTACCATCAGCCTCTACTAAACTCTCCCCTGGGGGCCTGTCATTGCCTTCGCTTTACATCTGAGCCATCTGACAGTCCCAGAGGTTATGCAGCTGCAGGACCTCACAGCCAGCAAGTGACAGATCTGGCCTGGGAACCCAGGGCCGCCTGACCCCAAGGCCCGTGCTGGTAACCATCCCGCAGAACATTGTGAAGTTTTCTTGATGATTAAATGAGGTGTAGCATCCTGCCGAGGATCCAGCACCAAGTTGGTACCTTGTGGATAATGATGTGCTTTCCCTGTTCCCTTTTCTCTGCCGATAGATACGGCCTGGGCCCTTGCTGGGGACGTCACCTTCAAATGGGCACCACCAGGATCTGGTGGGCTTTGGGATCCCCTCACCCGCTTCCTTATTCAACTCTTCACCCGTTTCGAGCCCCTGAAACTTGCCTGAGATTTGGGTTAGTAATAATTTACAGAAAAGCAGCACCTGGGGTGTGAGTTAGGGGGGCGTCCAGGGAGTCAAATGATCCTGCTCTTTGCCCCTTAGGGGTGGAGTGAGCTTGGCCCTGGTACCCCGTGTGGTCGTCCTCCTGGGCATCGTGTAGGAAGCGTGCCTGACAGTAGTGGGCACAGGTTGTCTGATGGGTGACCGCCTTGGGACCACGTGACCGGGCGATGGTTCTTGGCTCTTCCATGGGCTTTGGGCACCAAGCCACGTGGCCTCTCTCAGAGGGGAACTGTGTGTTCTGGCTCTGGGCCTCCTGTCTCTCTGGAAGCCAGCTGAGGAAATGGCTGAGGACAGGATAATCATCTGAACTTTTCACATATCTGTTACGGGGATTTGAGGCCGTTTATTGACGCACAGGAAGGAGCACTGGGTTTGGAGCCCATCCTCTGGACCGAGCTGCCAGCTCTGAGACTGGCTCTTTGCCTACCAAAGGAAGCCAGTATCCCTGATGCCTGCTTCTGCTCTTTGGAGAAGTTCTGGGGGTGGGAAAATTGGGGGAGGGGAATATTTCATATTGATTTTTCTGAATCTATCATTGATTATACATAATGCATTTCTACTTTTGCAGAGTTTTTAAGAAGTATTATGTCTATTTCAGCTTTTCCCTGTTTCTAGCATGGCTTCAAAATTGCTCGAAATGTAACATTTGTAATTTGAGTTTCAAATGAGGTAGCATAAGTGAGAGCTATCATCTGTCCAGTTTTGAGGATTATCACACAGCATACGAGCATTTGGAATTACCATTTTCGGGATATGGTGTGTATTTGAACTCCAATAAATGCAGATTGTCATAAGCTGACCAGGGAATGCTCGGCACATGATCAGTTTGTGAAAGAATGCGGGGTTAGAGTCTTAAATAGTATTCCCAGCTTTGTCAGTAGCGGCCGTGTGATACTAACATACCCTGTGACATTCTGTGTCCTCTCTCAATCCAGTCCCCTGATTTTAGAATTCGTGCTCAAACTGGAAGAAGTGGCGGAGAGAGAATATTAAAAAAGATGTTGCCGGCAGCTCCTTGGAGCTGCTTGGTTTGGTTTGGAACAGGCTTCTTCTTGTCGGTCCACCATCATTTTTTTCTCCTCGTTTCCAGCTCTACTCAAGTGTGGTACAGACTCGACTGGCATTTATTTAGTCTTTTGATCAAAACATAATTTAAAAACCATACGCCCAAACACAGGCATTAACCTCTCCTCAGTGGCCTTTCTTTCTTTTTTTTTTTTTGTCTTTAAACTGTGAAAACAGAAGATTAGAAAGTTTTAGACACTAAAGAGAAGGAAAAAAAGTTCATTTTCAAAAAGAAATTCTACTTTCATTTTAAATTTCTTATATACTCCCTTCCATTCCTCGGAGTTGAGGGTGTGAGCCCTGGAGAAAGACTATTTATGTCCAAATCCAAGCCCTTCTCCCTGCTTAGGGGACTATGTGATCTTGAGAAAGTTACCAGAACGTTCTAAACCTTAGCCATTGGGAGGATTAAAGAGAATTCTTTAACATTTTGGTGCCCCAATTTCCTCCTCTCCAAAATAGGAGTAATAATGCTGCCCATACTTAGCATGGGAACTTAGTGTCGAAGTTTTACTATGTATAAGGCACGCAGCACAGCGCCTGCGTGCGGTTAAGTGGCTCGTAAACATCAACTATTACTGGTCAGTTGGCACGAACTATTTTATATGGTCATCATCATGAGATCGGATGTATGATTGAATTACCTGCTCTTTTCTACTTAACATTAGAGGTCCTTGGCCACATCCTATATTTTCTAAAACAAATTTTAGGTAATTAGAGATTGTTATTAATGCATCATGGAAGGGCATAGAGAAACACATATCTCCCAGACTGTAAGACCTGAATAGACTGTGGTTTATTGTGGCACTATTCATTCATTCCCGGTTGTTTTGGGAGGCTGCCTAATGTTCCATCAAGTAGATACACTGTAACCCAGCCATTCCCCTATGGTGGGGTGTCGAACTCTCCTGCTTTTTAACTTCTGCTGATCATAATGTTTAAGATCAATTAAGGAACTTATCCGTACCAAGACGACAGCAATACACGGTGGTTTCAGCCAGAGCCAATCATAATGTTTAAGATCAATTAAGGAACTTATCCGTACCAAGACGACAGCAATACACGGTGGTTTCGGCCAGAGCCAGTCATAATGTTTAAGATCAATTAAGGAACTTATCCGTACCAAGACGACAGGAATACACGGTGGTTTCAGCCAGAGCCGGGGTGGGCAGGGCTGAGGCTGCAGGGTGACCAACTTGAGCCTTTTCAAGGCCACCCTGGGAGTGGTCCACGTAGAATTCCTGTCGCCTTCCTCGTGGGAAGGAGACCAGCTCATGGGTCACAGAGCGCATTCTCTGATTCTTTGGAACAGCTGGGCACTTAGGGGCACAGGAGTGAAGGTGGCAATGTACCCGCTTCAGACAGGTGTTTGCCTCGAGTGCCCTGTGGAGCTTTGGCATTGAGAAGATAACACATTTTTAAAAAGAGAGAGAGGATCGTTGCCCTTTTCAAAGGGCAAGCAAGGAAGAGCCGGGGGGGATGTGTCGTGGTGGGACACGTGGCGGTGAGCAGCCCTTCTGTAGCCACAGCAGAGAAAGATTTTCATAAGACAGGAAGACATTTCTTTACCATAAAGGTAATAAAATCACATATTGTAAAAATTGGGGTGAAGGGAGGAGAAAAACAAAGGACTCGCACCTCGAGTCTGTACTCAGATCCACTGTTAGCATCTTGGAAGTTTTCATTTGGACTTTTCCCCGGTTGTAATCACCATGAGTATATAGTTTCATATTCTGGTATTTTTCTTCATGTAACGTTGTAACATGGTAACATTTTTCTGTAGTTTTTGTTTTTCATCTTTCTCTTTATCGTTTTTAATGTCATTAACTTGTATGATACAATTGATTGACTCATAGTTCGTTCGGCATTCTCCTTGTTTCCAGTTTTCCACTGTTGGAAACAGTATAAGGAGGGTGGACATAACTTTCCCCCTGTTTTGATAAATTTTTTTTAGGCTAAATTCTCAGAAATAAAATGACTGGGTTGAAGGGCAGGCGCCTTTTCTGGCACCGGACACAGACTGCCCACTTGTTTTGCTAAAGATTTGTGCCAGTTTGCTCTCTCGCTGGCAGTGTGTGAAAACTGTGACTGTATTTTAGTTCTGGCAGCATTGGGTAATATTAAATATCTTCCAAAAATATTTTTTTTCTGGTTAATTTAATAGTTGAAAACAGTTATATATTTTAACTTCTTATTTTTAAAATTACCTAGTGAGGTTGGATGTTTTCCCTGACCTGTACTTCCTAGTTGTATTTCCTTGTGAAATGTCTATTGATGGACTAAAATTAGTTTCCAACTCTGTTAAGACATTAAATTTTCTGCCTCTTGAATCTGGAGAAGAGGCTCATTTGGGGATACTTTGAGTATATTTCTGTTCTTGGCTAGTGGAATGCCCTCAATGATGGTTTTGTCCAAATAACTTTTTTTGCCTGTAATCCTAGCATTTGGGAGGCCAGGGTGGGAGGATCACTTGAGGTCAGGAGTTTGAGACCAGCCTGAGCAACATAGCGAGACTCTGTTTCTACAAAAAATAGAAAAATTAGCCAGGCGTGGTGGCGCATGCCTCTAGTCCCAGCTACTCTGGAGGCTGAGGCAGGAGGATCACTTGAGCCCAGGAGTTTGAGGTTGCAGTGAGTTGTGATGACACCACTGCACTCCAGGCTGGTGACAGAGCGAAACTCTGTTTTGTTTTGTTTTTAACCCAAATAACTTTTTTTGTAGTAAAAGGAATAGAGATACATTTTAGAAAAATGTGGAAGCCCCATTGAAAGCACCGATTATGATGAGAGCAATGGTGTGTACTTAGAGCTTCCTCTGGGCCACACTATCCCAGGCACTTTATTTTATATTAACTCATTTCATCATCACAACAGCCTTTTTAGGAAGGGACTGTTGTCATTTCCAGGTGAGGAAACCAAGCCACAGAGTGACTCCGCAGAGCTTGCCGGTTGGCCCAGAAAACAAGTCACCATAACATTCCTTCATCAGAGACCCCCAGTGGGGTCTTTCGGTCTTTCTACAGGTCTCTGTTACCCTGCTGAGTGGGATCGTACTGTTATTATAACATATTATTTTGACTAACACGCTTTTTAAAAATATTCAAAAATGTCAATGATGTTTTCCTATGGAAATGAGTTTTAAAACCTGTGAGTCTCTGAAACGTTTTCCTCCAAGAGAGTATACTTTAATCGATGCCACTCTCTGTA